TGAGGCAAAAGAAAGGAAGAAAAGAAGCCGAAGGCAATGGAAAGTGGCAGTCAATAGGAACAAATGTAAGCTTTGAGATTTTAGAAGCGTAAGCCCTAGCGTCAGACAGCCAGGCCTGACCCAGATAGTCCTCTGGCCCTACCACTTCCTAGGCAGATGGCCTTTAGCAAGTTAGTCATTCCCTCTGACCTTCTTTTTTTTTTTTTTTTTTAAGAGAGAGTCTCACTTTGTCACCCTCGGTAGAGTGCCGTAGCATCACAGCTCACAGCAACCTCCAGCTCTTGCGTTTAGGCAATTCTCTCTTGCCTCAGCCTCCTGAGTAGCTGGGACTACAGGCCTTTTTTTCACTTTTAAATGGAACTAGTTAATACTACCTACCTTATATTGTGGTCCTAAGAGTTAAAGAAAAATTATAAAAAGTACTTAGCAGAACATTAAATAGAGAGGATGTTTGTAAAGCAAGTGTCCAGTACCTGGCAAAAGCTCTTTGGTTAAGTATTAATAAGTATAACAATGTTTTTAAAGACAGTATGGCTACCCTCAGTGGTCCACATCTGTAATCCCAGCATTTTGGGGGGCCAAGGCAGGAGGATCACTTGAGGTTAGAAGTAAGAGACCAGCCTGGGCAACATAGCAAGACCCTATCTCCAAAAAAAAAAAAAACAGCCTGTATCACCACACTGCCTAGCTACTTGTGAGGCTGAGGTAAGAGGATCACTTCAACCCAGCAATTTGAGGTTACAGTGAACTGTGCTTGGGCCACTGGACTCTAACCTGGGCAACAGGGGAACATCTTTTTTTTTGTTTTGTTTTGAGACTCTCACTTTGTCACCCTTGGTAGAGTGCTGTGGCATCATAGCTCACAGCAACCTCAAACTCCTGGGCTTAAATCAGTGGTTCTCAGTCTTCCTAATGCCATGGCCCTTTAGGCCCTATAGTCAAGACCCACAGGTTGAGAACCGCTGGCTCAAGCGATTCTCTTGCCTCAGCCTCCCAAGTAGCTGGGCCCACAGGCACCTGCCACAACACCTGACTATTTTTTAATTTTTTTCAATGAAACAAAACTCCTTTATTAACCAAATTCCATAAAAATTCTCGCGAGCTGTGATTCAGTCCTTTCTTGTGCCTAGGGGTCCCCTTCTACGCATACTTCCCGGGCGTCCCAGAGCATCCTTTTGCTGGCCACCCTGTGGCAACCACGTTCCAAATATCCGATACACCTAGAGTCATGTTGCTAGGTCCTGAGCAGCTTAAAATCAATTCCCAAAAGAGATTATAGCTGAGATGATCAAATCAGTAAATTCTGTGGATTATGCACGCCTGTAGTTCTACACCTCCAAAACTCAAGCTCATTTCTCCTTTGCTTCTGGCACTGTTTTTCTACCTCTCTGTCTCCCCAGCCCCATCTCTCTCTGAATGTTATGGCTATATCTGGCTATTTTTTTTAGAGATGAGGTCTCCTTCTGGCTCAGGATGATCTCAAACCTGTGAGCTCAGGTAATCCACCTGCCTCAGCCTCCCAAGTGCTGGGATTACAGGCGTGAGCCACCACACCCAGCCCAACATCTCTCTTTTCTTTCTTTTTTTCTTTTCTTTTTCTTTTTTTCTTTTTTCTTTTATTTTCTTTTTTTTTTTTTGAGAAAGAGACTCACTCTCTTCTCTCTTGCTCAAGCTAGAGCGCTGTGGAGTCAGCCTAGCTTACAGCAATCTCAAATTCCTGGGTCAAATGATCCTCCTGCCCCAACTCCCCAGTAACTGGGACTGTAGGAGCCTGCCAGGATACATGGCTAATTTTTTGTTTTTAGTAGAGATGGGGTCTTCTTGCTCAGACTTGTCTCTAACTCCTGAACTCAAAGGATCTTCCTGCCTCAGCCTCCTAGAGTGCTAGGCTTATAGGTATGAGCCACCACACCCAGCCAAGGGCAGCGCCTGTGGCTCAGTGAGTAGGGCGCCAGCCCCATATACCAAGGGTGGCGGGTTCAAACCCGGCCCCAGCCAAAGTGCAACAAAAAATAGCTGGGCGTCGTGGCAGGTACCTATAGCCCCAGCTACTTGGGAGGCTAAGGCAAGAGAATCACCTAAGCCCAAGAGCAGGAGGTTGCTATGAGCTTTGATGCCACAGCACTCTACCAAAGGCAATAAAGTGAGACTCTGT